AAGCATATTCAAAGGAGAGAAAAAATTAACTGAGAATGTAGAGAGGAAAAGGACATCTTTTCTTCTGTGTTTCAGTGAGTAGAGGAAAGAAAAAAAAATGAGAACAAATACTAAGTTCTGATGAGAGGGGATGTGTTCCCAAGTATAAGCTCTTTTTCTTCTGTGAGGAAGAAGATAAGTCTCTGCTCAGTTGTAAGGAGCTCAGGCCATGAAAGACTTGAGGACAGAGATAGACATCTGAAAATTGCCTGGGAAGAACCTGCTGTGATGTGTGGAGGGACTAACCTGAGGCTTGGAATCATGATTTGCAATGGCAACTGGAAAATGATTATCTCTAGCTGGGGCTTAAGAACAGGGCATAAGAAATAGTGGCTGGGGTTTGGGGCTGGGGCAAGCAGACGCATCGAGGTCACTATGGAAACAACAGCCTGGTGGGAATGACTCTCTAGGACCTTTGGGCAGGATATGGAAGGGGCATAAGAACAGTGCCCAAGGCATAGAGACATTGGCAGGAGTTGCTGGTTTGTTTAGTGAGTGGAAAAGATTACTTAAAGGCTGTCAAAGAGTAGGCTTGTACATGCCAGTCTTCAGAGTTGGTCTATGTCTGGATCAAAGCAAGATCTGAATTGTTTTGAGAGACCTTACGGTAAAGGCTATGATGCTCGGAAGGAAAGGTGCTGGACAGTAAGGCCAGGATGAGCTGCCCAGGATGACAGTGTGTGTGGTTTTCTAATGGTAGGTAAACCACGAATCTTAGATCAACACAGGAGCGTGACCAAAAAAAGATGGTAGGGCTGTTGACGGAGCGGCTGAACAATACAAGTCTCAAAAAACGGTTCCACTGAATAATGGCCATGAGGCAGGAAAAAGTTTAGGATTATATATTCACTGATTTATTTTTAGTTCACATCCTCTATCCTTCTTCTACTGAATATCTTCTGTAGGATACTCTTCTGAAACACCCTGTTCTAAATGAACCTTTCCAACTTACTCTGTTTCTTCCATTTCTTTAATTCTAGATAGACATTACCACTCATGTGGGCAGCTGATTTTGTTTTTGTTTTTTAATTTTCTCTACCCAGATTGAGTCCTTCCCTTCACTTGAAAGCACTCATTGCTGCTCCAGCATAAGTAACAAAAGAAACCACCTCTAGGGTCAGACAGACCTGGTTTAAATCCCAGTTCAACCATTTCTACCTGGAATGATCTTGGGCACATAAATATCCTAAACCTTATTTTCTTTTCTGTAAAATGGCTAAATTACTAGTCTTAATCATAAAAATTAGAATAAGATTTAAGTGAATTAATTTATTTAAAGAAAATAGTACAGAATCTGGCACTTTGCAATTGCCTTCAAAATTTTGAAGACATTCATTTTAGAATACTATTCCTCTTCTGACATATTGTCTGCAAGGCTTATGACCATGCTTCTTGCACATTTATGTGGATAAATTCCTTCAATTTTTTAAATGAATGCTTTATTATTAATATGCTAGTAATATTCATTTTGACTTACCTATTATACCAAGTAATTTTAATTATGTATGCTTTCTTATCCACTTTGAGGCATATCCTTTAGACAATACCTACAAATGTGTTGTTGGTTAATTTTTTTTTTTTTTTAAAGATTTATTTATTTATTCATACAGAACTGGGGTACAGGCCAGAGGCTCAGGGGCGGTGAGAGGCTTCACCAGAGACAGAGCGGGGAGCAGAACAGTCAGATCGACGAAGTACACTGCTGAGGGGAGCAGCGGGCGGGTCAGGAGAGGTCTGGCTCGCCATGTGGTCTCCTCCGGGGCAGGAGGCAGGCGGGAATCGAACTCATACGGAAGTGGCTTCAGATTCTCAGTGCTGTGCTTTAACCCGCTGCGCCACCAGGGAGGGCCAATTTTTATTAAAAAAAATCTCAATAACTTGTAAATACAATGAAGTCACTGATATATCTTTAAACATGCCTTTGTTAAAAAAATATACAAATTCTAAGCAAAACATCCTCATGAACATGTGCGTTTTAGGCAGATTCAAAATGAGTTACCTTTTTTTTTAAATAAAATTTTATGATGGAAATCTGCAATAGCTGGGTTTGAACATGGAGGAAAACAAAGTGCCAGTGACTTTGGCCCTGGCTTTAGCGGCCTCCCCCACCCCACCTGTCAAACCAACACTCACATTCTCTTCTTACTAATCCCTTCTTAAAGCTAAATTCTACTCCCCCTTAACCAGGGCAAAGGTTTAGAGTAAGAGGGAAAATAAGGACATTACTAACTCCGACTCCAACATTTTTCCACTGTCTACTATCTGCTATGTCATCAAGATCAGCACCTCTTCTTCTGGTTATCTTTCCCAGTCTCCCCAACTATTAACTTTGAACCTGAGTACTTAAACAATATTGACCACAAGAATGGGACTCGGCAGACATCCCATTGTGAGGATGGCAGGTAAATGGAAGCATAGCTTGTGTGGCAACTTTACCAAGTTATTCAGTGGGCACACAAAATTCAATACTATTGCTAATTGTCTTCTATGAAAAGAATCAATAGCAGCATTGGGCTAGGATTAAGATTTGCTGGCATTTAATAGTAGATATCTGGTAGCAGATTCTCTTTTAATGAGCATCCATTTTGTGGAAGAAATCTATTTGAGCCAGCAAATGGCAAAGATTAAGATAAATGGCTATAACTTTTATCCTCCCCAAATCTCCACTTTCTACCCTATTATGTGTGCACCCCCCATCGTTTGCTCATTCACTAGTGATAGACAGACGTCTGCTATACAACCCAGCAAGTTGCTCTGAATTACAATTACAGAAAATCCATTATTTGCACGAGAGCAGATTATGAAAAGCAAAAGTAGTTTTACATATGTGCTTGCAAACAAAACAATGAAGGGCTCTTAAATATTCATATGTGGGTCCAAAAAAGAAAGAAAAATAGCCAAAGAACAGTCTACTCCATACAGAAAATTGAAAAAGAAACAAGTGTTGGTTTAAATATCCACACTGCTGCACATATCAAACAGAACTCCAAAACAGGTAGAAACGTCTCTTTATCCATTCCCAAATCTGGTGCATCCCATTACAGAGAAAATGGAATTAATGGCCCAGCTCTGAAATCCTGGGCTCTCATTTCCCAGTGGCCTAAATCAGTCCCCAGTCCAGGACAAGACGCTGAACAAGATGCCTAATTATCTCAGGCCGCTAGGGTCAGCACTATTCCTGGCAACTCGGCAGGGAGCGCCATGGATGAGGGTTTCTAATTCTCTTTGGTGATTTGGTTCTGTGTAAACTGAGATTTTTCTTTCAGTATTTCATTCAGATAAGCAGGAAAGGCCAGCCCAAGCCATGAGATAGAGCCAATCAAGGTCAATGTCAGTTCCTTTTTCGTGCATATCATCTACTTTTTCTCTGCTGCCTTCTCTGACACTTGTCCTTATATTTTTATCTGATTATCAATTAGATATTGAGAGATTATCAATTATTATCAATTATCAATTACCTAATGAGAGACTACGGCAACCTCTGGTGTTCCCTCAATAATTCAAAAGCTTCTCAGCATAGGAATACCAGGAATATTCTGCAAACTGTCCTTGAAAGGCCAAACTCAACCCCTTGGCTATGAACCACATAGAAGTACCCCCTGTGGGTACTCTGAAGGTAAGGTTGAGACCCACACCAGCTTTCACCAGAAGCAATACCTGCAAACTGAACTTGCCTATTACCAATTCTCTAGTTCTTGCCTTTGCAGTGTAATTCCTCTATACTCAGTTATTATCTCACACAGAAAGGGAGAGGCAAACCTTGCCATCCCCATGTGGAAGACGGTGAAACAGGTTTAAAAGAATTGTCTAAAATGAATTCAAGCAGTGTTGTAGCTGGAAAGTAGATCAGCTGACACCTGTCCCCAGTTTTGTAGGTCACAGACTCTTTGTAAGTTTAGAAGAGAGTTTTACTTACCATAGTCCTCCTTGAAAGCTTCTATTTACTTTCTCAAACTGTGGATACCATTGGAGAGGTACCAGGTGTGCATTCCAGACACTCAGACAGTACATACAAACTCAGCAGCCTGCCTGTTGGCTGCACAGCTCAAGAATTTCTAAAGCTTTAGAACAAATGAAGCATTAGGGAGAGTAGATTCTGAAATAAAATGAAATATCACATACTCCTGCAAAGACAGATTAAAAACACCCTCTTCATTATTACAAATGAACTAACCACTTTATTTTGTGCTCTTTCAAACCACATTTCTCTCTCCCTGTATCTTCATTAAATAAATGCAAGCACATGTGTTTAGAAATGGGTAGGTGTAAAAGAACATTCTGCACAATTATAGTAGGCTGCTGATGATTTGTATCATATGCACACATATCTAGGGGGTATTAATTCATGATGACAGCTGAGCATGACAAATGTAGCAGTGCACAAGTTGGAATGCAGAAAAAATGCAACTACAAACCCCCGCATCTGAACAAGCATACATGAGTTTTCCCTCAACACACACGTGGCCACACTTACAGGAGCTTAACCACATAGATAAACTCCAAACACAAACAGTGGAGGCTCAGCGCCCACCAGCTGCATCCACACTCGCAGCCGCGCGTTCATATACAGGCAGGGATTCTCGCGCGTCCCCGGGCACTCGCCCGCCCACTGGCATCCCACCGCGCGAACACACGCGCCACACCGTCCC